TACAGGCCAAATAGAGGAATTAATTTACGTGTGATATTTTGTCCCCCTCTTTCAAATGGGCTTCTTGTGCGCATATATCAGGTTTGATAGCTGTTGACCATACCAATAATGCCTCATACTTAGTTTTACTAGATCAATTCGTGTTCTCGAGAAAAAAAATTTCACGATTCAAAAATCTGAGTATAGCGGCCAAATTCTTTTCTAAAAATTTTGAAAATTCTCCGTTTTTGGCCTATATTTGCTTTGTATGGTATTTGCCATAAAATATAGGCCAAAAACGATAAATGTTCAAAATTTGGAGAAAAAAGATTTTTCAGATTTTTGGATCGTGAAATTTTTTTTTTCTCGGAGAACACGAATTGATCTAGTAAATCTGAGTATGAGGCATTATTCGTATGCCAACAGCTATCAAACCTGATATATTCGCACTAAGGTTTTGTTGTGTTCCACAGTGTTATATAAGGGATACTTTGAGGAATCATATAAACAATTATACATTACCCAAGTTCACGTACATCCAAATTATTTATTTGTTTTTGAAATTAACAATATATTTCAGAATTTATAATTAATACGTTGTGTTCATTTTAGTAAATGCACTTTGATTTTTAATTGTACAAAATTTATTATATACATACAGTATCGGTCATATCAATAGCAACCCTATTTCAAAGTGATATTATTTCCCTCTCATGTTAATTTATTTCTAAGAATTTACAATAAAAATAAAGTTCAATTCCTAACAAAACCCAATTTTAAAACTTCGTAGAAAACTACAAAAAATACAACAAATGTTCACCCAAAATTCACATTTTTTTTTTATAGCCCCTTCAATTTTAGTCTTATTATATGCAAGTTTGAAGTGGCTAAAAATTACCTTTGATTTTTTAGAATCGATATAATAACAAATCGTGTTTAATCGTCTTCCATATACCGAAAAATGCGACTATTTATCCATGGCTGAGTGGAATATCGACCTATCTCGGCAGCCAGGTCGAAAACACTCGATATCAGAAAACTTTTCAACGCCCTAATTCAAAATTTGGCTGGAAAACGCCCTATTTTAGAATTTAATTGAAAAATGCCCTATCTCAGAACTCGGTTCAAAAACACCCTATCTCAGCTGGCGATCCAAAAACGCCCTATCTGAGCACATTTTCAAAGTATTTTCATTTGAGATAGGACTTTTTTGAACCGAATAATAATAATAACATACTATATACATATCTAGTTTCAACATAAAAAAAATTATGTACACATTAATTGTCTATGCATATCTAAGTCAATATATGTGATATATATGTACATACATCTACATATCGTCGTTTAAAGTAGAAAACCGTGTATCAGTAAAATGCCAAACCGCGTATCAAGATAATGCAAACCCAGCGAGGTTGCATACATTATTTTCTAGAGAGTGAAAACACTCATATTTCAAAATGGTTATCTTTTTTTTAAAAAGCAATCGCATTTTTGGCTAATATGTATCAGGAAGAATGGATAAGGATTGAGCCAAGAACTTGTGTGAGCAAATCCAATTTTTAGCATCAAATGTCAGTTACGCGGTTTTGTACTTAAACGACGATGCTTATGTTAACAGGAACGCTGCAATTTAATACACGGGTGAAGCAGGAACGCAGCACAGCAGAAGCATATAAACAATCTGCAAATGAATGGCTTTTTAGGTTTTTAACAAACAAACACCTGGTTTCAACTTACTTCAACGTGTCTAAAGCACAACGCACACACTATTGCAAAGGCGCAACAGGGACGCAACACTATAAAACACGGGCGGAGCAGGAACGCAGCACAACAGAAGCGTCCACAAAATCTGCGAATAAATGGTTCATTAGGTTTTGAAATAACAAAGAGCTGGTTCCAACTTACTTCAAAATATCTGCAGGATGATGCACACAATCAAATTCGGCCGCAGCTGCAGTTCACCAGAGAATGCTGCAAATGGAATGGTTCATCAATGAAGTCAAAATAATATGTTGTAACTTACGTGTATTAGCTCTTAATTACAATACCAGCACAGGTCGGCCAGGAAAACACTAAGGAAATTACCTAATAAATGCAAAATTATAATTAATTTGTAAAATAAATCGGTTTTATTACAATACTTACCAAATTTCAAGCAATTAGAAAACAAATGTCAGCGAATAAGAACAAAACGAACAACGAAAATTGAATCAATGTAGCTTGTTTAGAATTTTTTTCTAATATTTTGGGAAATGTTCAGTGAAATTAGCAAAGAAACAACACAGTTTCTCCTAAGGTAGTTCAAGATGGCGGATTAGAGCGAGAAGTTGCCAACGTATAACACCTTTCATTATTGCATCATGCTTTTTCATTTGGTTGTCATTCATCCCATGTACTATGTATTTTAATTCGTGTTTGCCTTTTCCGCCGAGTCGTTGCGTTTGCCTGAATGTATTGTCGGAAAAAATGCACTTAAGCTTACACATTTCAAACCTTGTTATAGAGTGACTCAAAAGTGAAGTGAAGTGAAGTGATTTGAAAAATGCCGCCTAAAACTAGTGGAAAAGCAG